CACTATAATTCTGATGGTCTTACCTTATAGAATGTCTGTGTTTTTTCAGGTGTAGTTTCCTTGCATTTCTTAAAATCTTCTGTACATCTGTCTAGCAAAGGTAAAATGAATTCAATATTAAAAATTCTGTGGTAAAAGGGAAAAAGAATAAAAGGATGGCTCTAAATTTTAAAGAAAACAAAAACAAAACTACAGTGTTAAGATGAGTATCCCTTTTGAATTAATGTCACAGTTCTGTTCAAACTAGTAAAGCACCTACCTCCCTTCTTCAAAATGCTCCATGGTAATAAATCCCTTGGTGACAGGAATGAACTTTTGATACAAAAACACTCATTAAAATGGTCAGCTGCTTTTGACAAGGGTGCCAAGACCTTTCAATGGGGGAAAGGAGTCTCTTCAACAAATGGTGTGAGGACAACTGGATAGCAACATGCAAAAGAACGAAGTTGGATCCTTAGCTCACACCATCTACAAAAGTTAAAGTGGGCCAGACGTCTACATGTAAGAACTGAAACTATAAAATTCCTAGAAGAAAATGGTATTATTCAGAACTTTGCATTTGGCAATGGTGTTTCTTCAACACAACAGAAATCAGCAACAAAAGAAAAAATTTTGACTATCAAAATTAAAAATTTTGTGGATCAAAGACACTATCAAGACTATAAAAACACAACAGACAGAATGGGAGGAAAGAATCAGAATATATAAAGAACAAACAACCAACAATTAAAAAATGGGCCAAGGGCTTGAATAGATATACAAATGGCTCTCAGCTCATGAGAAAATTACAACTGTCATTAGTGAAATGCAAATCAAAACCACAATGCCATAACACCCCACATCACATTCACTAGGATGGCTATACAGGGAAGAGAAGGTGAAAAAATAATAGGTGTTGGTGAGGATGTGGAAGAAGTACTGATGAGAATGTAGAACTAGGAACCTAAAACATTGCTGGTAGGAAAGTAAAATGGTATGGTTACTTTGAAAAGCTATTGGCAGTTCCTTAATAAGTTAAACAGAAATACCATATGGTTCAGCAATTTCACCTATAAGTATGGGCCCCACAGAACTAAAAACATGCTCAAATAAGAACTTGTAAACAATGTTCATAGCAGCATTATTCACTACAGCCAAAAGATGGAAACAATCTGAATATTCATCAACTGAATGGATAAAATATGACATGTTTACATACTGGAATATTGTTCAATTATCAAAAAGAATGAAATACTGTGAAACTTGAAAACACTATGCTTGGTAAAAGAAGTCAAACACAAAAGGCCACATGTTGTATGATTCCATTTACATAGGGACAGAAAGCCAGAAACAAAAGTAGTTGCCAAGGGCTTGGGGGAAGAAGGGAATATAGAGTGATCCTGATTAATGGGTACAGGTTTCCTTTTAGGGTGATGAAAATGTTCTCAATAAGATAGTGCTAATGGATTGTGAATGTATGAAATGCCACTGCATTGTATACTTTTGTACATTTTATGTTATGTGCATTTTAGCACAATAAGAAACTAAAACCCCAAATTTAAAAACTAAGAAAAAGTCAGCTATAACTGGTGGTAAAAGTGGTTCTAATTATCCTTTTGACAGAGAAATGATGGGTCAGGGGTGGCAGGAAAAAGAACCTGGGCTTTCAACAACGAGCAAGGCCCTTCTGCCCACTTAATTATGGCAGGATGTGTCCATTCTTTGAGGAAAGGGGTTTGAAGAGACAATGCCGTCAATACAAACGACTTCTGTCGTCAGGTGGTCTGACTGCCTCTTCTCATTTGGCTTAGGTTGGTCTGACTCATTGGAGGAACAAAGAGAAAAAAAAGGTACTCAAGGGGGAAAAAAAGCTCAAGAAGTGATTTTCAAAAATAAGTATAAATGAATTTATGTCAGTAGAAGGAGAATGTCACTGAGCACCTTGTCTGAAAGTAGCATATCTTGATAATGATACAGTCTTAGCTTCCCATGAAAGTGTTCTGTGGAATTACAATGCAGTGCAATGAGTTCTACTGTGGTGATAGAAAAAATAACCACCGGAAGATTTTTACGTGTTTCTCAAAATTGTTGCTAAAGATAACACCCATTATGTTATTCAATACCTCACCATGTCAAGAATTTCACATTAAAATTCAGTGCCAGGAGAATGTGTCTCTAGAGAAACTGACATGCTTCCTTTTATCAGATAAGAAAAGCCATATCACCCAACACATTTCTTTTTTGACCTCAGTAGCAGGAAGCTCAGAGCCAAATTGCTCAAATACAATTATCATTTTGCTTGGGCTTGTGGCAAAATTGTCTTCTCTCTTCCTCTAGGTTTTGTATTGCTCTAAATTTTGTAAAAGATGATTTTGCTAGATACGTGTTTTACTATAGATTACCTCAAAGACTTTTTGGAAATAATGACAAACATTAGAAGTAAATGAATTACAGAGTATCAAAGAAAAGGAAAATCAAATCAAATGCCTGTCTGCTAAAAGCCCTCTTCCTGTCCCCAGTGGAAAGCACTGTGAATGGTAATGTTACCTGCAGGCCACTGGGTTTGATCCAGACAGTCACATTCTGGGCGTAACTGCGTTTGTTTTTGGGCTGCAGGGGAATGGACTCTTATTGTCATCCTCACCATAAGGGTTTTCTTTAGCGTCTAAAAGAAAAAAAAACACTCTTGAAATGACATCTGGCAAAAACAAGGTTATATTTCCAATTAGGCTAGAAGCTCTGAGTCATTCTGTCTTAACATCCTGTAACTTCCTGAATTACAATAATCCATTAACCTCAGTTAGGTTGGGGACCCTATACTCAACAGAAAGTTCCTGATGTAAGAGACCAAATAATCAACTGGGCCCATGTGAAAGTAGTTCAATATTTTTGAAGAAACAAGTCCACTTACCTGCTTTATAAATCAAAGAGGATAAAATTGCTGCTAAAGATAACACCCATATATATGACATTGTTAAAGTACATATTTTTAAATACCTCTGTATATAATACATACTGTAATTCTGAAGTCTCCCCCAGCATACTCCAACAGAAATTTCTGCAATGGTGGAAGTATTCTAAACCTGTGCTAATATGGTAGCCACTAGACCTGTGTGACTACTGAACATTTGCCACATGGCTAAGTGTCACTGAAGAGCTGAATTTCAAATTTTGTTTTATTTTCTTTTTAAAGATTTATTTATTTATGTATACAAGAACTGGGGTACAGGCCAGAGGCGTGGGGTGGTGAGAGGATTCACCAGAGACAGAGTGGGGAACAGAACAAGCAGACTGACTGAAATACACTGCAGAGAGGAGCAGCAGGCGAGTCAGGAGAGGTCTGCTGCGCCATGTGGGTAGCTCCCTGGCGGGGATTGAACTTGTGCTGCAATGGCTGCGGATACTTCATAGGTTGCGTCTTAACCCCCTGAGCTACCATGGAGGCCCTTGTTTAATTTTAAATAGCTGTTTATTTATGTGACTGGGGATGACTGGCTGGATTAGATTGCATAAGTTTAGATGCTGAAAAAACTAGAGAGAAAATTTAAATATAGGAAAAGGACAAGAGAAGAAATACTTTTTTGGTGAACCTTATGGCTTATTAGTTTACAAGCTTCCTGAATCATGTTGGTTTTAGAGTCATGTGGATAAAAAATAAATTTGTCTGCTTTTGTAGGTGCTTTCTGACCCAATGAAAGTTTGCCATAAAAATACAAAGCAGGGGCCTCTCTGGTGGCTCAAGGGTTAAGACACAACCTATGAAGCTATCTGCAGCCACTGCAGCACGAGTTCGATGCCAAGCCAGCCAGGGAGTAGCCCACATGGCACAGCAGACCTCTCCTGACTCGCCCGCTGCTCCCCTCAGCAGTGTACTTTGGTCAATCTGCCTGTTCTGTTCCCTATTCTGTCTCTGATGAATCCACTCACCCCCTGCGCCTCTAGTCTGTACCCCAGCTCTTGTATACATAAATAAATCTTTAAAAAAAATTACAAAGTCTACATCTAATTTTATCCTTATTTTTTTAAAAAAGATTTATGTTTATTTATATATACAAGAACTAGGGTGTAGACCAGAGGTGTGGGGGGTGAGAGGATTCACCAGAGACAGAGTGGGGAACAGAACAGCGGATTTACAGAAATACACTGCTGAGGGGAGCAGTAGGTGAGACAGAAGAGGTCTGCTGTGCCATATGGGTCAGCTACCTGGCTGGGGATTGAACTCGTGCTGCAGTGGCTGGTTATAGCTTGATAGTACTGAGACTTTAACCCCTGTGCCACCAGGGAGGCCCCTCACTTTATCCTTACTTTCTGGTGTAGACAGGGCAGGAAATTATTTTCCTACAAGTTTAGGAACTTCCTTGCTCAAATAATGATGCTGAAAACCAAAATTAGCCCAGTTTCTCTAACTGATCCAGAAGCTCTCTAAGCCTAATCTGGTCATTAATTTTAATGCCTCACTGGTCCCATGCAATCCTGTGAATCCCTTTTCCTCCCCTGCCCTCCAAGAAGTATAAGCCCAGCTTTCCAGACATTTCTAAAATATTTGTCACTATATAAGCCTGTTTAGTCAGGTCAAGATCACAACAGTCTAGGGCCTCCCCAGTGGCGCAGCAGTTGAGCGCTGGGTTGCGAAGCCGCCCGCGGCCTCTGCATCGCCGGTTCGATTCCCAGCTGCTCCCCGGCTGCTCCCCGGCTGCTCCCCAGCTGCTCCCCGGCCACCAGAGGAGGGTCCCACAAGGCGCGCAGACCCCTCCTGCCGCCCGCTGCTCCCCTCAGCAGTGTACTTTGGTCCTTCTGCCTGTTCTGCTCCCTGCTCTGGCTCTGGTGAATTCTTTCACCCTCCCGCGCTTCTGACTGTACCCAGTGCTTGTATAAATAAATAAATAAATCTTTAAAAAAAAAAAAATCACAACAGTCTATTCCCATACAACATCCTCATTTCCAACTTCCCCATCATTATTTTTGCTACTTCTGTCGGGAATGCTTTCTTCCTCATTCATTTATTTTCTCATTTGCCAGTTCATGATCAACAGTCAGACTCCACCATGTAGCAAATTGTGCTAGGAATTGTGTTTAGAGAAGATATTTTTCTGGTTTATGGAACTTATAAAGAATATTTATTAAACTTTAACTAACTACAGATGCCACTCTACAAGCAGGGGGCTCCTTTATTCAGCAGGGGATTAGATATTATTCATCCCATAAAGATGAGTAAACTGAGGCTCAGAGAGATTGTGCTTACAACACAGGTAAGTGACTCAGCTGGGTCTGGTTTCAAAGCCAACACTTTATCAATGAATAGTGCCATTCCTCACCTACCCAAAATTACCTCCATTCCAGGTCCACATTCTATTCTACTTCCACTATGATGAGTTGTCCAAAATTTTTTTGGCAGTAATTTCTTTAGACCCTTTTATTCTATAATACTCAGTATCAGTACCAAACATTTCAACATGTAGTCATGGCTTCTTGCACTCTAACAGTTTGGTGCCACTAGACAGTAAGAGGCTATGTGGTAAGAGGATACAATGCATTTGTGAAAAAAGAGCAGGAAACTATCAGATATAACAACCATAATAGCATAAATTAAAAAAAAAAACAGTTGCAAGATAAAGTTGAAAATAATCTTACAGAAAGCAAAACTAAAAGAATGGGAAAATAAGAAGGTAAGAAAATTATACACATACACACACACCATAAATATGTGTTCAAGAAAGGGACAAAAAGAGAGCAGAGAGAGGACAATCAAAGAAATAATTCATGTTCCCAGGGCTGAAGGACATGAATTACCAGGTGGAAGGGCCAGTGAGTGCCCCGCAGGTAGAAGTGATGGGTAGGATTTTAATTGTCATTCTCACTGAGGGGGTAGACCAACCACATTCCCACCTTTACTCAGAGATTTCAGTTCTTTGTCTTATTTGGAACTAAAGTCATGTCTCTGATCCCTGTGCGAGCACCTGGATCCTAGCTCAAAGACTGGCAAAGTATGGGTTGCTGCCTCTTTTGGGGTTAAGAATGATTCTGATATTTTTTAAATGTCTGGGGGAAAAAAGTCAAAAAGAATGTTTTGTTATATATGAAGATTACATAAAATTCAAATTTTTTATGTCAATAAATATAGTGTTATTGGAATGCAGTCACTCCTTCATTTATATATCATCTATGGCTGCTTTTGTGATATCATGGCAGTGAGTTTTGTGATAACTCTAAGGAGTTATCATAACTCTTAGTAGTAGTTATGATAGAGACCCACATGGTTGGCAAGGCTAAAATATACATGCACATAAAAGTTAAGACACTCTATTTTCTTCTTGAGTCTCTTCTTGAGTTCTCCCCCAAAGAACACAGAAACATTTAATTCAAAAGGATGCCTGCACCCCTATGTTTATAGCAGCACTATTTACAATAGGCAAGATATGGAAGCAACCCAAATGCCCAAAAATAGATGACTGGATCAAGAAGATGTGGTATATACACACAATGGGATACTATTCAGCAGTCAAAAAAGATAAACTCATGCCATTCGCAGCAACATGGATGGAGCTGGAAGGGATTATGCTCAGTGAAATAAGCTGGAAGGAAAAAGAAAAATATCGATGGCTTCACTTATAGGAGGAATATAGGGGACCAAATAAAAGATCAGGAAAAAAATTAAAAACCAAAATAACAGGCAACTATAAATCAGGGGCATTCTGTGGGAGCGGAGGGTGGGGTGGGGAGGGAGAGGAATCAAAATTGGGGAGAGAAAAGCACAAGGGACTATGGTGATGGGGCACAGGTGAACTGGTGGGAATTTTATGGGGGCTACACCTGAGAGGAGAAAGCAAACATTGTACAAAAATGAACAATGATGTAACATATACATAAATGAATTAAAAAAATATATCTTTTGCATGGATCCCATCCCCATGTCCCTCTTCTGCCTCTCATCATCACATCTTTAGGACTGTCAGTAGACTTCTCACTGCAGGATGTCCTCAAATCCTTCCACAGAGTTATCTTTCTAAATACAAAATTTGTTTCTTAGATTTCAGCCACAACAGCACAACTCCAGGGAGTATCAGTACCTAAAATATAAAGTCTCCTAATCTGTAATGTTAGCTAGAAGGATCTGATCATATTATTCCCCCTTCAGTGGCTTCCTATTAACGGCAGAATAAAATCTCATTTTTAGGTGAAGCCAGTTCAGCTCTAGAGGCTGCCAAACTTCTAACTTACCATCTGCTCACCCAACTCCCTTGCCCTTTGTGTTCCATCTCCTTTCCTTTCTGTAGTGTTCTATTTGTCCAGGAAGTCTTTTTTCCTTCATTGGTTCAGTGATTTCTTCTTTTCCCTCAAAATTAGGCTAGCATGTCTTTTCCCTTTGAAGATTTTCCTGAGAGCCCTAGGCAAAACTGATGATCCCCCTACAGGCCAACTGTGATCCTGCACCAGCCTGTATTTACTATTCCATTCTCCACCAGTCTTTGAGTAACTCCTGCTAACTCTTTTGTCCCCTAGGACTACAACAAAGTAAGATGCTTGGTAGATGTTCCTGAAATTCCTAGACTCCTGTAGAGTCAAGGATGACTCTACAGTTGGAGCTTGAAGGCCTAGGAGTATAAAAGTCTCAATAAAAAGGAGGAGGAAAAACAGAATCAGGAACAGTTTTTCGGAGAAAGGGGCAAGAGACAATGGTTTTTGCAACCAACATACTGAGCCTTAGACTGTGAAGAATATCCAGGTGGAGAGGTCCAAGTGCAAACCGAAAATAAGATGCAAGTTGCAGGGAGAGAACAGAACAGTAAGGATAAAAGTTACAGATTTGGGGAGCCTGAACCTATAATGACTCTTGAAAGAAGGCAAAGGAAATCTTGGGAAACATGAGGCAAAAGTAAACAAAGAAGAGAACAAGAAAAAGAAAAGTTGGCAAAGAAAAAGGAAAGTGCCAGGAGAACATAATGTTAGGGGAGCTAAAAGAAGAGAATTTCAAGAAAGGAGATTAAATTATCTAGAATGACTTAGGGTTACCTGTATTGAAAATAGTACTCTAAGGAAGAAAAAGTTTATGGAGACTCAGGAGAGTAGCTTTTCACTCTTTAGTTAGAGCATTTGTAGCAACTTAAAACGACCTAATGTTGGTGTGCCCTGAGCTGTAAAGTGTTCAAACATCAAATTCTTTTGAGATTCTCCACATACATGCCCAGCACCAGAGACCACAGCACACTCACAAGGGAGGCCATGCAGCTCTCTGACTCCACGCAGCTCTCTGACTCCACAGAGTCATTCAGAATAGCAGAGAGAAAACAATATCAAGATAAATAAAACCTGATCTAGTTATACCTGAAATAGGACCCAACTGTGCCATTTTCCCTAGCCATGGGAGAGGTTCTGGGCCAGGTTCAAAGAGAGACATCATGAGGTTTGATTTCTTCTTGCTGTCAGCTTGGGAGTAGAGCATTCCATGCCATTCAGAACTAGATGGAGAAAAGATGGAAGATCAGAAGACCATCGAGTACCAAGTAAAAATAAGTTTAGCCTGTGTTTTTCTCTTGAGAGACATGGGCTTCAGCTTTGAAATCAAGTGCATTACTTTTACTAAAGTCAAATCCTAAATCTAAAAATGCACAGTGCTGCCCCCTATCATTACCATTCCAGTAGGTAGGACATATATCATTACTCGTGCAAAATTATGTAGATGGAAGTCAAAAAGCAATCTTAAAAGAGAAAACAAAAGTCATAAGGGCAGCAAGTAACTGCAGGAATGGTGAGGAGTGAGGGTTGTAACCTACGAGTCTTTTTGCTGCCTCCCTGAGTTATTCAGAGTAGCACTAACATAGAGAATCCCTTGCAACAAAGGGTATGAAGTCTTCACCTGGCTTCTCAAAGGGCCCCAGATGATTCCCATATTCAGAACCAGTTTGAGAAATATGGCAAACTAAAACTTAATACAAACTGCATTCTTCCTTTTGGAGCAGCTAATTTTAACTCAAGCAGAAAAGGAGCCTTGCTTCCTCTGAGTACTCCTAATGTCTTGATTTTCTCTACCAGGTAACCACAAATGATAACCACTTGAAGAGTCACCAACTTTTTTCACACACTAGGTAATGCAGAAAGGGAAACAGATAGTTTTGCAAATTTTGAGACTGCAGAGAAAGTGAAAACCAGAAGGGCTTTCCTCACAGGGAAGGAATATAGGAGAGTAGTTACAAGCAAGGGCACTGGAGTCAGAATACATGGGTAAGAATCTTGGCTAGCTAAGTGACCTGACCTTTATAAGACATAATTTCCTCATATATATAATGTTGATAACATTGATACCTCCTGTAGAGTGTTGTTGTGAGGAATTAAATGAGATCATATATGTGAAGTGCTCAGCAGAGTGTCTCGTCCCAGAGGAGTGCTGTTACATGGTAAAACTTTTAGTCAGTATTACCAGCATCTTTTTCATTTAGTTCTACCCCATCATTTTATAGATGATGAGTCTGTGAATACTGCATAAGATCCTGTAGCAAGTTAGTCGCATTGCTGTAACTGAATCTAGGTATCCCAGGTAGAATCAAAAAAAGGTAAATGGAGAAGGGCTATAGTATAACAGCAATATAATTAAAAGGCTCACTCCCTACTTATTCTAGGAAATGACCTGAAGAATAGTTTAGAAGTAATGGTAGATGGGAGGGTATGATAGAGAAAGAGAAAAGGTGACAGGATCCTTCTATTTCTTTCAGAAAAATATGGGAGATACTCTGCTTTGGGAATGGATTCTCCCTTTCTCTCACCCAAAGGTAAACAAAATTTCCTACCCTAGTTGAACAATTGCCACCATTCCTTCCACCTTTAGGCTGCCATGGAGCAGGACACAAAAGTTGGGTATTTTGCCTGCAATCTGATTGGCTGAATTTTCATCTTCATTGTCATCAGTTATGCCAGTGCCCACCTCATCACCTTCTGTGAAAAGAAGAGAGAACAGGTGAGGCTGAGATTAACCATAAAAAACCCAAACCACAATCACACTCTTGACTGTTTCTAGCTTTGGAAGGAAAGTACATGAGTTTTAAAGAATATTAAACCAATTATGAAAATTCATAGTCTGGTCTTCCCAAGTCCATGTAAAAATTAGTTGTCTGATGTTATATGAATTTCATTTATATGAAACATTCAGAATAGACAAATCTGTAGAGATGGAAAGGATATTAATGGTTACCTGGGACTAAAGGTTGATGGTCAAAGGATTGCTTTTCAGGGTGGGTAAAAATTTAAAAATTTTTAAAATTCTGTTCTAAATTGACTGTGTTGATGGTATCTTGATAAATGGTATATTTATAACACTGTATATACTAAAAACTAGAGAATTATACACTTGAAATGGGTGAAGTATATGGTATATTAATTATATTTCAGTAAAATTGCTTGTAGTGTCCATGGGAAAATACAGTTTGTTTTTGTTTTTTAAGATTTATTTTATTTATATAAGCACTGGGTACAGTCAGAAGCGTGGGAGGGTGAGAGAATTCACCAGAGCCAGAGCTGGGAGCAGAGCAGGCAGAAGGACGGAGTACACTGCTGAGGGGAGCAGCGGGCGGCAGGAGAGGTCTGCGCGCCATGTGGGACCCTCCTCCAGTGGCCGGGAGCAGCAGGGGATTGAACCGGCGCCACAGAGGCTGCGGTCAGCTTCGCAACCCAGCGCTCAACAGCTGCGTCACCGCGGAGTCCCGGAAAATACAGTTTTTTCAGTGTTTTTCACCATCTTCCAGCACAGGTGGCCTAGTAGATAACATGTAGCCTTGAGATGTAGTCCGCATGTGTGGAAAGCAGTAAATAATATGTAACCTTGATGTGTAGCTCACATGCACAAAACATACCATGCAAAATAGGCCTAAACTTGGTCTTGTGTTGGCTTTGTCTCTAAATCATATAAAAGCTAAAGGGTTCCTCTGCAGGGCCACTCACAGCATTGGCCACTCATACTCACTGGCCACTCACTGGTCACTCACTGGGCATGGGGCCACTGCTGCAGCCAGAGCCCAGGGGGGCTGCCACTCCTGGCCACTGCCACTGTTGCTACCTGTGTATCTCCTGTTGCTGCAATAAAGACTTGTTCCTGGCCTCACATATGGGCTTCATGACCTGTTTTCTCATCTGCTGACATCAAGAATTGGGCAAGCTGTAGCTGAGACCCAGAACTGCTACATAAAAAAGTCAACTTTCTACTGTTTCCAGTGGGATGCTCAGGTAGATGCTGAGGGTTTCAGACACCAAGGATGTCCAGAGTGTCCTCAACTGACATCTTTCAGGCAGCACATGGATAGGAGCGCTCCAGGGTGAACAGTGGCTACTCAACAAGCTTCCTGACTCAACTCTGCAACTCTAGGTTCTGTCATACACTCAACTGACAGTTGAATCATCTTGCATTTAACTTCACTATTAAACTATAGCCTGAGTTTGATCCCAGGCCAGAGAGTTAACTCATCACATGGCACAGCAGACCTCTCCTGTCTTGCCCGCTGCTCTCCTTAGTAGTGTATTTCAGTGTATTTCTGCCTTTTCTGCTCTCGACTCTCTGGTGAATCCTCTCATACCCTGCACCTCTGGTCTATACCCCAGTTATTCAATGCAAAAGTAAAAAAATAAAACTTTAAAAAAAGAGAATAACCTTAGATAAAAAAAGATGGAGAACTCACCTTTGTTAAGTGCTATGGGTAGAACCAGATGTCTGGACAGAACAGGGGGACTTGAAATATCAGCTATATCAATAAACCCCACTATTTCCAAATCTGAAAGGAAGAAATCAATACAGCATTAATTTGTGCTATAGGAAAGTATTACCATATTCTAAGTAGTATGTTTCACAAATAATGATCCTTAAGCAGAGAATTAAAATATGATGACTAGAAAAGTTATTAGAAGTTTCTTTGGAAAACTCTAATAATTTGCATTTTAAGTAGATCAGGAGAAAATAACTGGACTTTGCTGTTATGAGGTTAGGTTTTTAGCCAAGGCAAATCTTCTGTATAGCTAGGGATGTTTGGGTCACCAGGGGGCGGTGTAATCCAACACTTCCACAAGAATGTCAAGCCGCTGTCCTTGGAAGGTAAAAGCTATTTCATTAAAAACATTTCTCTGAGAAAGAGATACTTTCTTTACAAAACCAAGGTAGCAGACTAAATATGACAATTTCTTTTTTTATAGAAGCCATATTAAAGATAAAAAGCATCTGTTGAAAACTTAAAATAAATTCAAAATAAAAGTTGTAACCCAAAGTACTTTTTGAAAGCTTTTTTTCTGATTATATAAATAGTATAAAAACTTAGAAGTTGCGGGCCTCCCCAGTGGCGCAGCGGTTGAGCGCTGGGTTGCGAAGCTGCCTGGAGCCTCTGCAGCGCTGGTTCGATCCCCAGGTTGCTCCCTGGCCACCAGAGGAGGGTCCCACAGGGCGTGCAGACCTCTCCTGCCGCCCACTGCTCCCTTCCTCAGTGTACTTTGGTCCTTCTGCCCGTTCTGCTGCCTGCTCCCAGTGCTTGTATAAATAAATAAATCTTTTAAAAAAAAAAAAAAAAAAAAAAAAAAAAAAAACTTAGAAGTTGGAATACACTAAAATTATAAAGAAGAAAAATAAACTCAGTCATTATTGATCACCAAAGAAAACCTCTTAATATTTTTTTGAATTGCTTTTCAGCCTTTCCCCACCTAGATATATATACACACTCATATTCTCAAAACAATTAAAAAACGTTAGTAAGTACACTATACTTTTAATATAACAGGAAGTCTGCTTCTCTGGAGATTTGCTGTCATTACCTTCGTTAGCTGATTAACAAATGAATCACCATAAGCAGTTATATATTTTTCATTTGAATAGAAAAAGGCCTAGATTTTATTTATTTATTTTATTTTATTTTTTTAAAGATTGATTTTTTTATACAAGAACCAGGGCACAAGCCAGACTCGCGGGAGGATGAGAGGATTCACCAGAGACAGAGCGGGGAACAGAACAGGCAGACTGACGAAACACACTGCTGAGGGGAGCAGTGGGCGAGGCAGAAGAGGTCGGCCGCGCCAAGTGGGACCCTCGCTGGCCCACCGGGATCGAACCAGTGCTCTAGAGGCTGCAGACAGCTTCACAGTGCTGCGCTCAACTGCCTGAGCCAACAGGGGAGGCCCAAAAGGCCTAGATTTTAAAGTGGTCTAAATATAAGCTATAACAAAGTTTTTAAGACTAAAAGTTTACATGGGAAGGTGAAGACCTTAAGTTACAAAAATGGGTGGAGATGGGCCTCCCTGGTCATGCAGTGGTTAAAGACACAGTGCTATCAAGCTATCGCCAGCCACTGCAGCAGTTCGATCCCCTCCAGCCAGGGAGCAACACACATGGTGCAGCAGATCTCTCCTTGTCTTGCCCGCTGCTCACCTCAGCAGTGTATTTCAGTAGATCTGCACCCCACTCTCTCTGGTGAATCCTCTCACCGTCCGCACCTCTGGTCTACACCCCAGTTCTTATATGCATAAATAAATAAATCTTCAAAAAAAATGGGTGAGAGGGCATGGAAATCTAACTGGTTGAAAGGCAACAAACCATTGGTATAGCTGTCTAGTCACAATGAAAGAGATGGGTACTCTTCTTCCAGACAGCTAGGAAAAAATAAAATGTTTGTGCACAGCCCTCCACTAAAACTCCTTAAAATATGTACACCCAAGAATGAAATACATATTACCATGCATTCAATTTTAATCATTATTGAACAACTGCCTGCTGAATATCTACTAATAGAGACTACTAGCATTGAAGCTGCAATGATAACAATGAGTTTAACATGAACCCACCACTGGAGGAGTCCACCTACCAACAGGGGACAATGCTCCTCTTCACTACCCTTGTTACTTTTTTTTTTTTTTTTAATTTTTGCTTAGAAGATCTGGGATGTAGGTCAGAGTGTGGGGGGGGGGGGGATAGTGGGTGAGAGGATTCACCAGAGACAGAGTGCAGAGCAGAACAGGCAGATTTACTGAAATACACTGCTAAGGGGGCAGTGTGCGAGACAGGAGAGGTCTGTTGCGCCATAAGTGGTTAGCTCCCTGGCCGGGGATAGAACTCATGCTGTAGCAGTGATAGTGCTGAGACTTAAACCCCCAGGCCACCAGGGAGGCCCTACTCCTTGTTACTTCTGATTCTTCACTTTGTAAGTGCTAAGTATAGTGCCAGCATCATGAACCAGGTAAAGGTAGTAGACACTGCTTTCTTTTAGTCATAATATGAGCAGCAGTTTGTATCAAAGTTGAGAGCTTAGAGACCATTTGATTGATTCCATTCACCTACCAATGAGAACTAGAGAAGTGAAATGTCCAGGGTCAAATAACAAGAGTTATACAGCCAAATCTAGAAGTGAGTTCTTCACATGTGGCATCAATTATGATGCTAATCAATTTTAGTATCTCTACTAAGTATTGCTTGAGGATTTAAATACTAGTGAATCTGACCATGATTCCCAAATCTAATAATTATGGTAATAATTATCTATGATTAGAGATAATTTATGTGTTCAACATGAAAGTCCACTAAATCTGCCACTCCTTAGGCAATGCATCCTCCCATCAAAAGTGTACACATGTGACATTAGCACACTAATATCAGAATTATCTGTCCACACTAATATCTGGACAGAGAAAAGTAAAAGTGAAAAGTTAGGGAGAAAAAAAGTAAGGATAACAGAAGAAGAAAGAAGTTTTAAATAGTTACCTGTATTAATTACTTTAGGGATAGGATCGATTTCCTCATCAACAACAAAAGGTTCTGGCCTGGGGAAGACTTGCACATCAGCAGTCAGGTGGCCACACTTGAGAACAGCATGGAAAGGCGTATATGCCAGGTCTATCAGTTTTCTAGGACATGATGATTAATTGGTAGAGAAAGATACATAAGATACATAATAAGATACATATAAAAATAATTTTTTCAAGATGCAAAGTTTTCATTTAAGTTAACTTCACAACTAATAGCTAACCATTTGTAAGACAAGACAAACTTGACATTTCTTGGTGAGAAATTTTCAATTTTGAGAAGCTTGAAAGCAAGTTAATCTTAGAAATTGAGTCACTGTAAGGAAGTCAATATCCACAGGCATTATAGATTTAGTCATGCTGAACTTTTAAGGGAATGAACAGTTAAAAATCGCTAATATGAATTATTTTATCTGAAATGTGAAACTTGGGGTAAGTGGAATGATACAATTAGAAATGGTAAGACATATTATTGCTGGATATCAAATTATAATATTGGATTGCAAAGAAGGCAAAAAAGCTCTATGTATATACTCACCCAAACATAGACTGTACATTTTTCAGGCATAGCGGGCCATCAATAGTAAAGATCTGCCCTTCACCATTATTTAAATCTATGAGACGTTCAAGGCAATCCAGGGAATCAGTGCTCTGAAGCTACAAAGCAAAATGGATGACCCTTTTACAATGGCACAACATGTCAGATTATTATCAGCATGCCAAGGTCAAACCCATCACAATAACACAGGCAATAAATAATGGAGATTTTTTTTTAACAACATGAGAAGAAAACAAGTATAACAATTTTGTCTCAAGGTTACCACAGAGAAATGTTATTTAAAAAATGACACCAGTGGAGCTATTTCAGTCAGAAGCAGTTTTGCATGATTCTCAGAGGTGACCAAGGTTGTTATTTACACAGCTCCCTCCAAAGTGTTGCTAACATCTTTTGGTAAGAAACATCATCATCATTTTACAGATAGAAAAACTGAAATGAAGAAAGGTTAAAAAACTTGCCCAAATAAATGGGAAAACCAGAAAGTAGCATTTAAATTTAAAAAACATACATCAGAGTAATATTACTTTACAAAAAAAAAATCAAAGCACACTGCCATCACATTTCTGGCAAAATGAAAATGAGGGAATTCCTAAAAGGGAACTATCAAAGACCAAAAAACTGAAACAAATGAACATTTCAACTCTTCAAAATCTTAAAAAGAGTACTTGTGGGAAGCAGGATGGATAATAATTCCAGCTATGTTCCCTGTGATGGGACAACACACTCTGAACTTTCAAAGAACATCTGAGACTCAGTCTTTCAAATATAGTTAGGGACCAGCCTTACCTGAAACAAATGGAGTTTACTGTTTATTAGTACATGAAGATAATGCTAATGGAATATACTAAAAAACGAAGAGTTCTAAAATATATCTAATCAAACTGTAAAAACTTAGTAAGAAGCATTACCTCCTCCAAATTTGCCATGCACATGATGTATAACTTAGATGGGAAAGGAAAAGGTAGTGGAAATCTGTTGCTCTCACTTCGTTGATTATGAGTTGCTAGAGAATGCCGCAGGGATCCTCTACCAATGCCAAGACAGCCATCTGTCACCAGAACAACCTGTTTGCAAAAGTGAGAAGAGCTTTGTACATGAATTCCTTTCATATTTAAGGCAGTCTAATATAGTGATGTTTTCATTTCTTCTTGGTTGCATTTTCATTGAAAAACCTTCCTCTGCAGGGATACAAGCAACAATGTGTATAAATCTCAAAAACACTTTGTGAAGTGAAAATTGATAGACACAAAAGAATACACATTGTATGATTCTCTAAAGAAATTATTCTTAAGATAAATTATAGGGAGTTCTACAGCAGGTAAAACAAAGCTATATAAATCAAACAGAAACTGTGGTGTGTGTGTATGTGAGTGTGCGTGTGATACTGACTACAGAAGAGTAAGAGGAAACTTTGTGGGGTAATGGAAATGTTCTATATCTTAATAAAAGCAATGGCTACATAGGCGTATGCTTTTGTCAAAACTCAGTACATTTTACTTTCTCTAATCAAATCTAAAAAAAAGCACCTAAGAGGGCCTCCCCTGGTGGCACAGCGGTTGAGCACTGGATTGCGAGGCTGCCCGCAGCCTCTGCAGCACCAGTTCGATCCCCAGCCACCGGCGAGGGTCCCACAAAAAACAAACAAATAAGGGCCTCCCGGGTGGCGCAGTGGTTGAGCGCTGGGTTGCAAGGCTGCCCGCGGCCTCTGCGGCACCGGTTCGATCCCTGGCTGCTCCCCGGCCACCAGAGGAGGGTCCCACATGGCGCACAGACCCCTCCTGCCGCCCGCTGCTCCCCTCAGCAGTGTACTTCGGTCCTTCTGCCTGCTCTGCTCCCCGCTCTGGCTCTGGTGAATTCTCTCGCCCTCCCGCGCTTCTGACTGTACCCAGTGCATGTATAAAATGAAACAAACAAACAAACAAACAAACAAATAAATAAACATGCCTCTAAAAAAAAAAAAAAAAAAAAACAAACAAATAAATAAATAAATAAAACACCTAAGAGTACATTAAAAAAGGACAAAAACATTCATAACCAATTTTTAATTGTATTAAAGTTATAACCTATCTCTTAGGTAAGGAGTAAGGTCAAAAACAGCATAAGGAACTATTTCATGTGTGTCCCTAGGAAGTACTACCACAGAATTCCTGATGCTTTATTTTTCTACCCCTGATGAACAAGTACTTTAAAAATGTATTTATAGGGCCTCCCTGGTGGCACAAGGGGCTAAGCACCACACTACGAAGCAATCCGCAGCCTCTGCAGCATGAGTTCGGTCCCCAGCCAGCCAGGGAGAAACCCACATGGCGAGGCAGACCTCTCCTGTCTCGTCCGCTGCTCCCCTTAGCAGTGTATTTCAGTCAGTCTGCTTGTTCTGTTCCCCACTCTGTCTCTGGTGGATCCTCTCACCCCCTGAATCTCTGGCCTGTACCTCAGCTCTTGTATGCATAAATAAATAAATCTTTTTTAAAAAAAGTATTTATAGAAGTCATTTAACCAAAAGTGTACAAACCCTCTCAAACACATTCTTGATCAACCTGTAATTTGAAAATGCCAACAAAATATACCAACAGATGGTAGTTACAAACCATTTTTCTTTTCTTTATTGCTTTCAAGTGAGCTCGTGGTGAGTAGACTTTCCAAGCATTCCAGGAGAGGATTATTTTTGCTTTCACCAGCTTAGCCTAGAAACTTGGTAATAACAGGCCATTAAGGCAGTGTCAGGCAAGGTGACACATGTGAGGTGCCAAGACTGGCACTTCTAAAACCCAAGAATCCTACCAATAGAGGTCCCCTGAAGGGATGTCATCTTTTGGAAGATACTAATCAGCTATTCGATAATTTCCTCTTCTAGATACCAACAATTGCTATATGATTTACTTCTGTCACTAGCTTTTTCAGATGCTATGTGATTATGAAATATTTCATGTAATGGTCAAATGAGACAGACTTTACTCAGATAGTAAAGACATGGTCCAGCTGTCTAAAAGCTCAGTTAGAAAATTCTCCATTCAAACAATCCGTTTTACAGTAACTTATTATTAAAAAACTTACTAGTATCTTCCACATGTAGTACTGTTTTGGACTTGGTTTGCCATAAAACTCATCAAGCAAATCTAAATGTAAGGGGATTGAGGCCCTGTCTCTTTTCCCACAGGGTACAGTATAGCTCCAAATCAGATTCTTCCTTTTTGCAAAAGAAGATAAACATTAAAAAGCAGACGTCTTGATGCTGTTCAAAGTCAGGTCTTGCATATTTTCTGAATTTTTTCTCTAAAACCACTGAAGAAGTACAAATGACAATGTGCTACCTACTAGCTTCCAGTTGAGAAGATATTGATGACAAGACCTCGTGTACTCAGTGTATTGTTAGGAAATCAGTCTGCATATATGTATTTTTAAACAACTCAGTTGAACTGGTTTTGGTTTGTTAAATAACTGCTATATTGAGATAATGAAAGTAGTGTTATTTCTAAAATTCTACTGTGAGCCTTTTGAGTTTGATACAAACAATACTAGTTTACAATAAGTCAATTTACTGAGGGGATGCTTTCTTAAGGCATAATTTTGTTGCTTTCTGGGAACAGCAATGCATGCTGTGTCAGAGCCTGGAGAAAATCAAAACACCTCAGTGGCTACTGTTTTAACTTACGGCAATGAAAAAGAATTGCTTTTTACCTGGCAAGGAATTGCACCGCCCCATTCTTGCTGAACGATATTGCAAACACCCAACTAATGCAGACTCCAAGCAGGTTTTGTCATAATCATCCATATTACTTAGTGCTTCCTGATTGAACATAGGATAATATTGTTTATTATTCTTTTGTTTTAATTTGTTGTTAGAAAACAAGATAAATTGTTCAAAGCATGAATGTCACACAGGGAACTTATACTTCTGAGTCAATAAATCCATGGCTTCTTAAAGAAATACAGTAAAGCAGATTTTCTCAACTGTAAAGGATAATTAAAGAGCTTCCCTTATTCCATCCACATGAAATGTCCACCAAGCTCAGATGTTTATAGTGGACCTTGAAGAAATAATTAAATGAACTTTTAAACATATCACCAAAAAAAGGGGAAAATATGCTAAACACCATTCCAGGCATTTTACAACCATTTAATCATCACAATACCCTACATGGTTCATTAGCCTGTTTTTAAAATGAGGAAACTAAGGTATACAATGTTTAGGTAACTTTTCCAGGCCTCATAGTAAAGTCTAACTCCAGGACTTCTGGTCTTAACCAGTACTCTGCATTTCTCTAAATTTCAGAACTACTGAACATCAGAAATCCAGTGCAATTTTTTAAAACATTTTTTTCCTTATTTTCAGGAAGGAGATCTTTTTGCATAGAAGAACTGGGTGTAGGCCAGAGGTATGGGGTGGGGGGTGAGAAGATTCACCAGAGGCAGAGTGGGGAGGAGAACAGGTGAAGTTACTGAAATACACTGCTAGGGGAGCAGTGGGCAAGACAGGAGAGGTCAGCTGCACCATATGTGGATTAGCTCCCTGACTAGGGACTGAACTCAGGCTGTAGCAGTGATAGGGCTGAGACTTAAGCCTAGGCCACCAGGGTCTAATCTCACTTTAAGAAAAGTGAGATTACTAAAAGGAATGATTTAACAAAATTGTATTACTTATACTACAAAAGCAACTACATTGACCCTGTATGTCTAAACAACCAACAACTATAAACTATTTAGTTAATTCCACAAACACTATTGACTTCTCACTATGGGCAAGGCACTGTGGCAAACACTGTTATAAATATTAGTGATTTAGAGATGTTGTCAGAAAGGAAAAATTATCTGGCATTACACAGATAATACTTTTGGAAGATAACACCTATCAATCAAGGTTTAAAAATTACAATTCCTTGGTGTAGGGTAAGTAAAGTATCAGGTTTTTCTGCCCTTCTGACATTAGATTAAATGCATGCCTGATGGCGGACAACTGGAGTAGGGTGTGGGCATGTGTAGGTGGGATACACCTGGGCTAAGACGGGCCTATAAGGGCAGCATCACGGGGATGCCAGCAGAGTGAAAGAGAGAAGAAGGAGGACGAGACCACAAGAGAATGCCAGAGAGCCCAGAAAGAGTGAAGATTTGCTGGGGGCTAGGAGGCCTGCCAGCCTTCTGGCCCCCAGCCCCTGGCACCCTTGCCTGCTATGTACCTGGTAAAATCTCAATAAAGCCTGAAAAAGCCACCTAGGGCTCCTGGACTCCTACTTCACCCAGCCACTCGATCACAGAGATCCTGCACTGTCCCATCCTGCCTCTACTCTTGGCACATATAAATCAAAGATTATTTGTTGGAGAAGGAATATAATTTTGAATTGCTCTAGAATAAGGGCTTTGTAAGGAATGGCAATTTTCATTTCGAGTTTTTATGGAAGAATAGAAAAGAGTAAAATGTTTAACTTAAAGGCCCTGAACTTTAAGGAATGGGGGAATACATCCTGAATGCATCCCTGTCCACAAAGAATTCGAGAAACCAAAATAATAAGGCAAATGCTCACAGTTAACTCAAGCTCTACCAAAGCCATAAGCCCAACAGTTGTGAATCCTTGTTTTATAGCTATACTTAGATATTATTAAGTACTCAGATATTTAACATTAAATAATTCCAAGTTCTAAATATTCAGTGTAATATGAGACTACTGTTTTAATCCTTATAAATTTGGGCCCAGTATAAACAATAACATTCCTTTTTGTACCTGTAGGGTGTTATAATCTCTTGTGAAGGGAACCATCAGCTCCCAGAGTGATGAAAAAACCACCAGAGCTGTAAATTCAAGCTTGTAATTGTGGCCATGTGCTCAAAAAGCATGGTCAAACCATGGGCTGCTAGGTGCTTGCGCTGATATTCCTCGGACCCCTCCACAGACACAGGTCGGGTCATGGAAAGGGATACATCCATTACCACCACTGTAGGCATGATGAAAACGATCCCACTGTTTCCAATCAGCATGCAAACAGACAGCTATAAAGGGAGAAATGCTGTAGAAAATAAATATAATTAGGTCTTCCATGCTAAGAAGAGGAAAAGTATTTTCTCACCATAGTTTCCTGAAATGAGTGAAAGCCAATCCTATTTAAGTTGAGGTGAGGGCAACGCTGCATTTCAGTGGGAGGGAAGCAAACAACTTAGTTCACTGGAGGGTCACTCCTAGAATCACCCACTAAAATGGCCACAATTCAAGGCTAACCTAAGTGTTTCTAGTAAGGACAAAACATTCAACTCAGGGGCCTCCCCTGGTGGCGCAGAGGTTGAGCGCTGGGCTGCGAGGCTGCCCGCAGCCTCTGCAGCGCGGTTTGTTCCCCGGCTGCTGGCGAGGGTCCCACACACACAAAAAAAACCCAAACATTCAATTCAGGTAAACCCTGATATTCATTCTTTTTTTTTTTTTTAAGATTTATTTATATATACAAGAACCGGGGTACAGGCCAGATGTGCAGGAGGGGGTGACAGGATTCACCAGAGACAGAGTGGGGAACAGAACAGGCAGATTGACGAAAATACACTGCTGAGGGGAGCAGCAGGCGAGACAGGAAAGGTCTGCCGCACCATGTGGGACCCTCCCAGGCCCGCCGGGATTGAACCTGCACTGCAGAGGCTGCGGACTGCTTCACAGTGCGGTGCTCAACTGCCTGCGCCACCAGGGAGGTCCAACCCTAATTTTCATTCTTTCAATTTTTTTTTCTTTTATTCAATTTTTTTAAATTAATTTATTTATTTATACAAGCACTGGGTACAGTCAGAAGTGCGGGAGGGTGAGAGAATTCACCAGAACCAGAGCGGGGAGCAGAGCAGGCAGAAGGACCGAAGTACACTGCTGAGGGGAGCAGCGGGCGGCAGGAGAGGTCTGCGCGCCATGTGGGACCCTCCTCTGGTGGCCGGGGAGCAGTCGGGGATCGAACCAACACTGCAGAGGCTGCAGGCAGCTTCGCAGCCCAGCGCTCAACCGCTGCGCCACTAAGGGAGACCCCATTCTTTCAATTTTTATACAACTTAACATAACACTCCTACATCACTTCTCCAACACTTATTTACTAAAGAACATTTTTAGTCATCATAGTGGTGCTATCTGACAATCATTCTTTTTTGGCACATAGTACTATTTTAATCAACATAACAGTATTTGTGCATGTTTATCTTGTGGTTTGGTACCCTTGTTTTATTAAATTGAAGAAAAACATAAAGATGAAAGGGCTAGCAAAGTCATAATCCAAATCAGATAAAACTTAGAAATCATCAAGCATGACAAAAGCAATAAACTGTTAGCCTCAGTAGTACTCACTGGACATAAATTGAGCCACAGTGCTCTAACTGTGAAGGAAAGAACAAAATGAAAGGGAATCCAGGAAACATGCATTATTCCATGAAATTATGTATGAAAATAAAATGCTGATAAATGGAGGAAACACTACTTTAAAATTATGGGTTGATAATCAGCATGAAGAAACATTTCTGTGCTCAAAAACAAAGAAAAAAGTTCAAAAAACACACACCTGTTTATGGGAACATTGCTTGGCTGCTATTCTATTACTAACCAAACTATACAGTCTAATGACAAAGTGAAGTATCACACAATTATAAAATAATAAGACATATGTAGATATCAGAAATAGAGCAAGTATTAGTAACTAAGAAAAGCAAGTCACAGGACTGTATGTCTACACTGATAAACAATTCATAAATATTATTTGCAAATATGCAATCAGGGAAA